TTCCGAGTTCTTGACATTGATGACCTAGAACAGATTAAATAAAATAAAACACCTTCAATGTTCGCCTTTAGCATAGAGGTTCCCTACTTCTTAGGCCCACTCAACTTCATTGCACCTCAGATGTAAGTAGATATATGCAGATCTGCCTAATTTAATCTGTTCGCTACCCCCAAAATGTCCAACTCAGGACAACATTAAGACCTGAGAACAATTAAGAACACACAATCCTACATACAGATGATGTATTATTGAATTGTACACCTGGAACCTATATAATTTTATTAATCAATGTCGCCCCAATAAATTCAATTTAAAAAAAATAGAAACACCTTTAAAATACTGCAATACTATACATCTTTCTGTTACTAACTATAACCTTCTGTCTGCTCCAACCTTTAAGTGGATGACTTTTTTTCTAATGGCCATTGACATTTGGATCAAATATCTAATTGTTCCCTAATAGCCACTGGTGTTTTCTGTCGTGCTCACATTGATTGAATATTTTCACAACCTGCCCCTCCCACTCTCACAAAGAAAGGCGAGGGAGTTTTCTTAAGTTAACAATATCCTTCTCAGTGACTCTGCAGATATGATCTTAAGCCACAACTTGGCTTGGAGAATTGGTTCCTGGCCTGGTCTTTAGTTCAACATCGTCTGAACAGAACCCTATTGTGTGGGAATTTATCAAGGCGCATGGGTAACCTCCAGTGCACTACCAGCCACAGAACAAACAAGCTCACGGATCAAACTAAGACTCTCAAGCCACGGCGTGTGTGAAATCAATCAACAACCCAAAGCGAGAGCCCGGGCAGGTTAACACTTCCCGCGGGTGCAAGTGGAATGACCGCTCCCCGCTGGATCCTGGGCCATGAGGTATTCTGTCCTGTCCCACTCTTCGCCTTTCCAGCAACGCATGGTAACCAGGACCAAACCTGGGGTTTGCGCAAGGGGCCAGGACACGGACGGTGCCTGGGGCCACCCATGCTGGGGCCTTAGTGAGGCGTCTCAGAGCTGGCACTGTGGGCCCCGCTGGAGCCCACGGCGACCCACAGAGCGGCCCCGCTGGAGCCCACGGCGACCCACAGAGCAGCCCCGCTGTTAGTCTGCTTCTGGGCTGACACCTGGGGCCCATGGAAGCCATGATGAGAGCCACAGATGCGTGCCTGGCTCACGGATGACATGGCAGAGCTATCAGCCCCGACATGCACTGCTACTTCTGATGCGTGGCCTCTCCGTCCTCTCCCATCCATAGTAACACTGCTGCTGCTCCATCCTTTGGATCAGGGAGCACCTCCTGCAGGTCACTGTCACCTGCACCTCAGAGGGGTCCCGCTCTCTGTGCCTGACACCGCTAAGCCATGTATTCAGGCATGGGAGGCGTTAGGGGTTTCCCTCCCCTGGCTGAAGTCCAGCGGTTTTAGGTGCAAGAGGGCACTGGCCCCCAGATGACCTTCCACACAGGTGTCCTCAGCCTAGTTTCCAAAGCTGGGGGGGAAGAGGAGCTTGGGTTCTTTAGGTACTGTGTGTGCCTGTGTGTACATGTATGTGTGCCTGTGCGTGCCTGTGTGCATGTACGTGTGCACACGTTGTGTGCATGATATGCTCCCCAAACTGTTAACTGCTCCTGTGCCTTATCGGCAGCGCTATTCTTACTAAGGCTCGTTATCACCCCAGCTGGCTTTTCCCCTCCACCCTCCATGTGCTTCAAGGACTGCAGTGACCCAGAGAGGTCGCCATTGTTTCCTTAAGACACCAATCTGCCCCCCGCCACCCACCTCCTTTGCCCGTGTGCTCATGGCTGAGAGAGACTGAGGTAGGGATGTGGTGTGATACCAAATACCCCATCGAAGCCCCCCACCCTGAGATGATCACTGGGGCATTGAAGGGGTGGATGCACCGGGGGTGGGGGGGCCGCCGTGGGTGGGGGTGGCCCTGGGCAGGTCCTGAGGCCTAGATTCCTGGGTGTGAGGAGGAAGGGGGGGGGCACGGCCCACAGCCTCGCGCTGTCACCTCTCCGTCCTCAGAGCTCTACCTCCAGGTCTCTGCCCCCACCCCCCACCCCCCGACTGTCGGAATTCTTCCGGGGTTTTGTGAGTTTCCAGGACAGTATGGCAGAGAGCAAGCCACATCTTCTGCACCCGCTCTGAGTCCTGTGCAGGGCGCTGGGCCGTGACGGGACAGAAGCATGTCGTCGTGCTGAGCGGGGACACCCCCACAGGAGCCCCCAGTCATCCCCACGAGAGGCCTGGCACCCAGATGGCGGGGCCACAGGATCCACACTCTGGGGGCAGACACCGGAGGAGCTGGGCATGGATGGGGGGGCCTCAGATGCTTTCTGTAACCTGATGGGGGGAGGGGGACGCTGATGCCGCCAGCCCTGTATCCATTCCGTCCCTTCACTGGGCCAGAAGCCAGGGAAACGAAGGAAGGTGGGGACCCACCGAATCGGTCTCCTTGTCACTGGCCTCTGGGCCCGCATGCTGACGCATTCGCCGGGAGGAAGGTACCTGCTGCTGGATGTCCCTGCCATAAGGCCTTTGGGTTAAGGAGCCCCCAGTCTACGTGTCGTGGCTCCCTGGGAAGTGTCATTTCACCCGCACAGCCCTCTGGGTGGGAAAGGGGCAGGACCACATGAAAGGCCTGCTGTGAGCCCCACCAGGCGCCTGCATGTGTCTCAGAGCCACGGGAAGAACTGCGTGGGCGCTGTCCCTGTGTCCCACACCCCTCCTGGCTTTCTCTTGACGGCCTCTTTGAAATTATTAGTAAACCCCAACCGCGGGCGGATCCCTGACTCCGGAGTGAGCTGTGCCGTCCAATCGGGGGTCTGCTCACCCTGCAGGTCATTCAGCACTGTCGGCGCCTTGGCCTCAGTTACAAAATGGGGTGAGGACCAGGAAGGGGGTGAGGACCAGGAAGGAGGGGAAGATGAGGACCAGGAAGGGGGTGAGGGTGAGGAAGGGGGAGAGGGTGAGGAAGGGGGTGAGGAACAAGAAGGGGGTGAGAGTCAGGAAGCGGGGGAGGGTCAGGAAGGGGGGGAGGGTCAGGAAGGGGGGAGGGTCAGGAAGGGGGGAGGGTCAGGAAGGGGGGAGGGTCAGGAAGGGGGGAGGGCCAGGAAGGGGGGGTCAGGAAGGGGGAGGGCCAGGAAGGGGGGCCAGGAAAGGGGGAGGGTCAGGAAGGGGGAGGGTCAGGAAGGGGGAGGGCCAGGAAGGGGGAGGGTCAGGAAGGGGGAGGGCCAGGAAGGGGGGGGCCAGGAAAGGGGGAGGGTCAGGAAGGGGGAGGGTCAGGAAGGGGGGAGGGCCAAGAAGGGGGGGCTGAGAGAGACTGAGCAGCTTACTCCCAGGAACTACTGCCTCCAGAGGCTGTGGCAGGAGATACTGCATCTCGCGAGGGATCGCAGGCAACCAATCGGTTTCTTTACCTGAACTGTCGGGCAGAGGTTGTGAGTGATCAGATCAGCTATGGACAGGAGAGAGAAGGGGCATTTCTCTGCACGTTCTCCAGTGAGGAAAAGCCCCGCGATCCCCACAGCACACAGAACACGACACACACGATGGCACACGTGTGTGCGGCTGTCTGCATGTGCTGGGGTTCCCACCCTGACGGCCCTGCCCGTGCACGCACTCCTGGCTCCTGGGCTCTGGACGCACTTGTCCTGGTGGCCACGGGTCGGGAGTGATCGATCTGACTGGACAGTGGGAAACACTGTCCACGCCCAGCTCAGGCTCCTCTTCCTCTTGGGAACCAGCTGGCTGTGGGGGAGCAGACGTGCTCCCCTGCTCCTGGGACCCCAATAGCTGTGCAGGTTGTGTCCAGTGCGAGGGCACCTGAGAGGAGGAGCCAACTGGGGGAGCGATGGACTGAGCTCCGGGGGCAGGAGGACCGCCCAGAGCTGGCGTCTTCTCCTCACTCTCCCTGCAGCTGGGGGCCGGGGCACCCAGGGCTGCTCTGTCACACTGCTGGCCCGGGTGGCCGTCTGTCCAATGCCAGGGTGTCCTGGGCAGGTCCTATTGGCTCCCTGTCCTTCCATTTGCCTGTCAGTGATAAGGTGGCACGTGGCCTTCGCATGCCTCCCTTTCGGGGGGTGGGGGGTGGTTTTCCTCACCAATTCCACACTGTCAGCCCCACAGAGTTGTTCTTCAAGATGGCAGCCAGTTTGGCTCAGTGGATAGAGCGTCGGCCTGTGGACTGAAGGGTCCTAGGTTCCATTCCGGTCAAGAGCACATACCCAGGTCGCAGGCTTGATCCCCAGTAGGGGGCATGCAGGAGGCAGCCAATCAATGATTCTCTCTCTCTCTCTCTCTCTCTCTCTCTCTCTCTCTCTCCCTCTCCCTTCCTCTCTGACATCAATAAAAAAAAAATTTTTTTTTAAAGATGTCAGCTCTGCAATTTTTTATTATTAACACTGTCAGACTCTGCTGTGGATTTTATCTCCTGAGCCAGTTTCCGCCTGGGGGAGGTGAAGACATTGACAGGTAGCTTTTGCTACACACAGTGGGTCATCCACAATGAATTTTGCAAGAGCATTGATAGCGTTTGGTGCCTGTTTTCATGACTTGACAAGGGTGTGGCTGGGAGGTGCTTCTGGAAGACTTTGCCACGAAGGGCCTTGTGCAGGGACCCCGGTTGCTAACAGCCACCGAGGCAACTTCTGCAACCCTGTGGCCAGGTCATCCTCTCACCCACCCCTCACAGCTCACCCGGGACCGTGAATTTATGCATAACCCATGACAAGAAGCCAGCGGGGACAATGAGCACTTTCCTTGAAAGAAAGAAAAATCATTTTTTATTTCTAAAGAGAACTAAAAGCACAAAGTAGCGTTCATCTCTATTCATGTTCAGGTCAATCTTGAGCGGGAAAAATCAAAGCAGTCCATGCACGCGGCGAGCCGAGGCTGAGGAGCAGAAGCTGGAGATGAGCGGGTGGCGGCGAGGCTGAGCGGCCGTGGCCGGGGGCGGGGGGTGGCCCATTCTCAGTGTGGACGCGACTCCCACGCGAGCGGCTAAAATTCACACTCCTCTGAAAGGGAAGGGGCGGGAGAAGAGATGTTAGTGAGGGGGCGGATGTGCTCTCACTTGGCAATAATGCCAGGGGATTTTTGACTTGAAAGTATCAACGGGAAGATTCTTCAGAAAACATGGCCCGTCTTCATATTTTGTCATTCCCTGCCCTCGCACCCCAAGCCAGCTACGCATCACAAAGAGCAAAGCCGGGGAAAGGCAGGTTCCTCCCCACATGGTCTTCCAGCCCCGCCTCCCCGTCCCAGACCCGGGTTCATCGTGATTTAGGCTAAACCGCTCCTCCCCGGCCCCGGGGCCACAGTCCGGTGAAAACACAGCTGGCAGCGCAGACAGAGTCCCGAGGCCCGTGCCCCCCGCCGTCAGCCCCGCCGCGTTGTCACGGACGTACCTTCCGGGACGTTGTTGATGTTCAGAGGGTAGAAGCACCACGGGTGCCCCGGGACGGTGCTGTCGAAGCAGCAGCCCTTCGCCGTGCACTGGGCGGGCGTGATGCCCGAGAACCCGCAGTTGCTCCTCTGGCTCGGGGCCATCATGCACGTCTCTAAAGGCGCACGGGCAGGGGACAAAGGTAAGCCCGGAGCCCAACTCCTCGCTATTTCTACCCACACCCGTCCCGCTTCGTTCTCCAGTTACATCAGCAACCGGCTGGCGCGGCCGATGCAGACCCAGGCCTCGGGTCCGGGAGGGAGACCCTGTCCTCATTTCCTGACATGAAAACACGTCACCTCAGGGAAACTGCAAGGCGCCCGGAATCTGTAACCCTGCACCCACCTGGACAACGTATTCATTAGCGCATTCATTTCAACGAACAATTATTAAGCATATTTACTCAATCAATATATCTATTGGGCACCATTTGTGTGTGCTAGGAACAGGAGATGACACAGCAAACACAGGCAGCGCGGGTCCCTCAGAAACCGAGCTCCTGCCAGCTCTGTGCCAGGTGGTGGTGACCCAGAAATTAAAAATAAAGGCATGCTTGTTAAGAAACCAAACTCAGATGGAGGAGAAAGCCAAGTATGTGTGCAAAGTAGCACAGTGCGACCATCCTAGTGTGTCCAGGTCAAGCACAGAAAGGACAAGTGACAACAAGGCTGAACAAAGCAAGGAGGGCTTCCTGTAGGAGGGGGTGGACCTCTTGAGGATGGAGCAGTGGGTGTTCCAAGCAGAGGGAGCAGCATGGGTGATGGCGTGAAGGGGAAGAGCAAGGTGTGTTCGAGGAGGTGTAAGTCCGTTTGCAGAGACGATGCAGAGGTTGAGGTGGGTGGTCTGAGAGGAGCTAGGTCAAGGGCTAGGGGACACAGTTTCAGCCTGAGAGCCACAGCTTTCACCAGAGGAGGGATGAAATGACCCAAAGTGGAAAGCACCCAGGGCAGACGGGCCAGCTGGCAGCTCCCACATGGTCTGGCTGCAAGATCTGTGGGATCTGCACTCGGGGCCAGAGGCTCTGAGAAGGCGAACGCGGCAGGCTGAGGCAGGCAATGGGAGGGGAGCCTGGGACGGGGGCACAGGAGGGTAAGGGCTCAGAGGTGCACATGGCCATGCACCATGAGTGAGAAGACAGGGGGGATGAGGAGCGAGGCCTTGGGAGCGTCGACAGTGAAGGGACAGAGAAGGAAGGAGGCTGAATAGAAGGAGGCTGGTCAGAGGACAGGTGGACCGAGATTCAGGCCAGAGGTGGGCACAGTTGGCCTTGACCCGGGGCATCTGGCTCCATGAAAGACAATTCCTCCAAAGACAGTCGGATGTGGGACACTCCCCCAGACCGAGAGGGCAGGACGCCCACATGCATTCCTTGGTGAAATCCAGCAAAGCGCGCTAGCATAGCAAGTAATGTTGATTCAGCACTTTGTAGCTTGCAAAGCACTTTTCACAGACATCACAGACAATTGATCACACTCCGAAGATAAAGACCTTGAGACACAAACAAGTTCAAAGGAAGCAGCGGTGACCTCTCTCACTGGGCAACTCCCATGGACTAATATTGACGGAACACGAACCAATGGGGCAGGTGGTTTGGGCTCTGCAGAGCACGGGGCCCAGAGAGGTTCTCAGGATGCCCACCCGTGGAGAAGGCACTGGGACATCTGTGTAGACTTTAGGTCAGTGGTTCTCAACCTTCCTGATGCCGTGACCCTTTAATACAGTTCCGCATGTTGTGGTGACCCCCAATTTCATTGTTACAAGTTGAACATAATTAAAGCATCGTGATTAATCACAAAAACAATATGTAATTATAGATGTGTTTTCCAATGGTCTTAGGCAACCCCTGTGAAAGGGTCGTTCGACCCCCAAAGGGGTCGCGACCCACAGGTTGCGAACCGCTGCTTTAGGTGGTCCCACTGCCTGGGGTAGGGTTTGGCTGGGACATTTAGAAGTGCTATTCATACACCCTACCTCAAAGCTTGCTCTTTAAAATACAACATTCAAGAATAGCCTCATAGTGTCAGGACTGGAAGACAGCGCCAACCAAGGAATCCCACTTGCTCACAGCAGTTCTCCAAGGTCTCACTGGCCCTTTCTCCCGCTGCTAGCATCACTTGCTTTTGCCTTCCAAACCCTCTCAAAGGCCTAAAACAATGCTTGGCTCAAAACCACACACTGTGAAACAAAGGCTTCCATCAGGGCTACCTCTCTATGCGCATGTGCTCCCCCCACTCCCCCCAAGAAGCAGGAAGAGGGCTGCTTACCGGTCTGGACCTGGGCCAGGCTGCTGAGGGCCAGCGAGAAGACCAGGAGCAGGACGCAGATCACCTTGGGCTCCATGGTGGCCATGCCTGTATTCTCTCTGCTCCCAGGAGAGTGCAAGTCAGGGGTGAGAATCTGTCTGAGCCCTCGATTTTAAACCCGGCTCTGTTTGCTGAAAGAGTGTGAGATAACATTTGCCTAAGGAGGGTCTCACAGCCCTCCACTGATTAAAAGGTGTTTTCTAAACACGGGCAGGCCACACAGACGCGTTTGCTGATAGAGGGAAACTGTGTCTCGTAGTCATCTTGGTGAGGGATTTGAGATTCAGATCATCCCGCTCTTATCCATGGGAGTCTCCTCAGTTCACTGGTCTGTATCGGCTAATGTCAACAGTACACTCACTGGGAAGTGATTCATCACGAGAGATGGCCCACGGAAGGCGCAGTTGTGTGAACAGTGGCTCACGGGGTCCCTGCCACACAACTCAGGGAGGAGAAGGAGCAGAGGAGCCCGCCCGCCTGGCCTTGGCCTTTCGACCTGGGCCATTTTCAACCATTTTGAGAATCCAAGTCCGGGGCCGGGGGGAGCTGACCTCGGCAGGATGAGCAGGAGAATGACAGGCCTGCCCCCCTTCCCTCCCCAGGGGACTTGAGCTTCAAACTTCATCTTCCCTCTGTTAGTGCTGTCTGGTTAGACATTTCCATGGCAACTTCGTATGTGAGCCGAGCACCGTCAGGTCCTTCCCCAAGGACAGGGGGCCTGTGCGGAGCGGCTCAGGGTCCAGTCGGCACTGCCATCCTCCTCACAGGAACTCGTGAGCATTGTTACTTATTTATCTAAATTAATTCTTTTCCTTTAAAAATGAAGTTGCATGTATAAGAGCAGACATGGAAACTGATGAAGTAGAGGTGTTCTTCCCTCTGGCGAATCCCTTTCCCCGTGTCTGTGGGGGCGGTTGCTCACGTCCTCCCAGGGGATTCCTCAGGGCCACCTCCACCCAGCTGCCCTGCGGCCCTGCCTTGCTCTGGCTCTTTCTCTGTCATGGCTCTTTTTTTTACATTTATTTTTATCTTTGAATGTCTGAAGCGATTCCCTTACACGCCATGTTTGTTGTTTACTGCCCCTCCCCAGTAGAATGGAAGGGCCCTGATTCAGGGGTGTGGTCTACTCTGTGCATTCAGATGGCCTCAGCACCTATAATGGTGCCTTATTAAATAAACTAGAGGCTCGATGCACAAAATTCATGCAAGAGTAGGCGTTCCTTCCCCCAGCTGCCGGCAGCGGCTTCCCTCTGGCACCCAGGACCCAGGCTTCCCTCAGCCCCAGCTTAGTCCGGAAGGACATCCAGAAGGATGTCTGGTCTAATTAGCATATTATGCTTTTATTATTATAGATATCTGTTGAGGAATGGATGGATGGATGGGTGGATGGATGGATTAATGATAGTAGGAATTTTTTTTCTTCAGTGATAGATTAGGCTTCAAGGAAAGTGAATCTCATCTGGGACAGAAGAACCCGATCCTGGTGGCACCTGGATCTCCAACTTCTACCTTCCAGAACTGTGAGACAATAAGTTTCTGTTGTATATTCAGTTGATGGTACTTTGTTTACAGCCGACCTAGGAAACTAATACAACCAGGGTGACTGTGCACTGGACAAAGAAAAGTACTTAGACTTTCTGAAGGTCAATAAATAGTAACTCTGAAGGCCATTACATACGAGCTCTGAACTGACACTAATATTCAAAGGCCCAAGTCCCACGTGGTTCATCAAACAGAGAAACTGGATTTCAGGTGTGAGATGGCATCTTGGCTCAAGTCCATCTCCTGGATCCAGTGAGGTCACACCCATCCCTTGGGGATCCCCCCAGGCCCAGGATAGATACACTTAGTAGCTAGCTGCATTGCTTCTCTGATCCTTGGAGTGAGGGATGTTACCGTGGAAGTCTCTCACCAAGGCAGTGAACCAAAACCAGCATCTCAGTCCAGGAGGGACCTGCAAAAGTCAATGCCACCATCAAGGACTTGAGCTTGCAGCCGTGGTCATTGTACATTCCCGTTGGCCTCACCTGTGTGGCCAGGTGCGTTGTGGAGAATGACTTGAGAGCAGGGACAGCACAGGTTCACGGTAAGTGTCCAGGTAGTCGTTATTTCAGGCTCGGTGGGCCACACTTGGGCTCTGCCACATCATCCTTGTTTTATTTTTGCAACCTTTGAAACATGTACAGATCATTTCTTAGTTTTCAGGTTGTACAAAAGCAGGCCACAGGCAGGATCTGGCCCACAGGCTGTCATCTGTCAAGCCCTGTGTATAAAGGGTCACAAATGTCATCAAGCGGTGATGACACCTGCAGCTGGGGAGCTGGATGTGATATCATTCCTGGAGCAAACTCCCTGGCACCTGATATGCAGCCATTGACCTAGAAAATGTTTGCTTTCCCCCCATTCTTTTCAGAAAAGATGATCAGATGTATTTTGCCTCCACATGGCAGGGACAGCAATATACCAGTACGATGTGGACTGGGGGTTGTGTCACGTCTGCATACTCAGGAGAGACCTTGAACATTTTGCTAAACATCCTTCCGGCCTGTTACATTGCAGACATGATGTTGAGTTAACTGGATTTTGAAAACCAGAAGTAAGATGGCTTAGAGAAACACACGTGTGTCAGAGATTGGAGCTGCGAAAGTCCAGGAACCTGGCCCTTTAGTGGACATATCCTCTGTGAAGGGAAAGACGAATGTCTGTATCTGTTCCACTCACCCAGTACCTCCTCACAGGCCTCTTTGGATCTGGGAGGTAGTATAGACTACATTTGAACAGGCTGTTCTGGCTCATTTACCAGCTGCCAATAAAGTTTGAAATTTTGAATGGAGTCAGAATAATAAATGGCTCTGCAGAAATCGGTCCAGGCTGTCACACAAGACACCCTGCCACGTGGGCCCAGAAGTGTGGACAGTTTGTGACGTATCCACGGCAGACGTCGGCATTGTGTGGCATCTTGGGGAAGTCCAAGATAAAAAACAGCAGGTTCCATATTAGTTCTCTGTCACCATGTGACAAACGACCCCAAAACTTAGTGATTTAAAATAAGAAACACTTACTATTTCACAGTTACTGTGTGTCAGGTACTGGGTGACAGCTTAGCTGGATTCTCTGACTCACAGGCTACAGTCAAGGGGTCAGCAGGACTCAATTCAAACTCGTGAATGTGAAGACGTCACGGGGCCATGTAGACAGTGGGGACGTCCCAGTGGCATAGGCTCAATACCGCGAGCTTCTTCGCATAGTAATCGACTCCACTTCTGAGTTCCCATCCTGCCAGCAGCAGGGGCTGGTGCATGGTCCTGGATGTGGCATGGTGCCCAGGAGCAGTGGCTGGCAGCCTGGTGGCAGGTTGGTTCCATGAGAGCGTTTCCATCACAGAGGGGCAGGATGGAGGGCCTGGTCTGTACATGCCCTCCCTCTGAGCCGCAGCTGCTGGCAGACCAGCACTGGGAATTTACAGAATGCATACTCCCGTGCAGGGGATGCATCACAGCACATTTCAGGGCCAGGAAATCTAACAGTGTCCCCGCAATTCACTGGCCTTCCCACAGGCCCATCACCCAGAGCAGACAGCTTGACCGGATGAGGGGATTGTCTGCTCCGCCGCCAGTGGGTGGATTCCCACTCGGCACATGCCTAAGCCAAAGTGCACATGCCCAGGAAGCACACAACAGACGAAGGAGCGGCGTTCTTCATGTTAAAGGAAGTCACTGCTGGAGGAGGTTTGCTTCCCGTCCCATGGCCGTGGTCTTACGGGTTGGAGCGCTGTTGGTCTGAGAGAGGCTGGCTTCCACGTGGAAACCCCACTGGCAATGGAGACTGACCTCATGCCAGCGAACCAACAGTCAGAGGAGGCATATCCACTAGAGGAACTGGTCCTAGGAACCGAGGGAGACTGTGTAACTGCTACACAGTGGGGATGAGGAGGGTGATGCATGTAGCCCAAGGGGGTCACTGGGGCTTCTGTGAGTGCTTTCTCACCAGAGGTCCTGGTCGATGGGAAACTGAGGCAACCCAATACATATAAGACCCACAAGGACCCAGATCCTATGCATATGAAGATCTGGCTCACTATCACCAGGCAAATGACCACGCCCCGCTGAAGTGGGGCATACATGGGGAGGGGGCTGTGGCCACCAACTCTGACCCTCTGACCAACAACCAAAGCAGTTGCTATAGCAGCTGTTTTACATAAAGTAAAGAAAGTAGCATTAAGTACTTAGCTAATTTCTGGAAGATTTGGGTATTTCTTGGGTAAGCCTTGAAAGCAATAGATAACAGAAATAACAGAAATCGTCTAAATGTATATTACATATGTAGGTAGAGAGCAAATTTACCTATGTAAAGTATTTTAAACTTCTTTAACTGTAAAATGTTTATCATATATATGATGAACGAAGGTTTAAAATCTTTGAAATATAAAGAGCTTACACAAGTTGAATTTTCAAACCCTGGAACTCGAATAGATAGAGGCAAAGAGCATGGACATCCAATTACAAAATTATAGGGAATGGGGGAAAAATTATTAGCAATCAAAGAAATCACTTAAGGTAACAACAATGTGCAAGCCAAGCAAGTTGTCAGATTTTGTTTTTTAATCAGAAGAGTCCATGCTGCTGAAAGTCAGGAAAACACAACCTACACCCACGGTGGCAACGGGCCCACCTTCATGGTGATCAGCGTGGGCCTAAGCAAGGGGCCTAGGAAGAGCACTCGCTCTGACCCCGTAAATCTCCTTCAGGGGGCCCCCTCAAGAAAGAATCCCAAACACAGACAGATCGTCCCGCATAAAGATGTCCTCAGAAGAAATCTTAGCCATTGTCAACAATTGTAGAGAATGCTGGTTGGACGATGCATGGTGAAATGCGAAGCTCCGTGGAGTCTGTAAGAGCCTGGAAACGCTCATGCTGCGTGCTAAGTCAGAAAGAACAGGGTCAGGTTTACAAACAACTCAGCAGGAAAAGGAGAAAAAAGAAGCCACACCAGGGGGTGGGCCCGAGGGGTGCAAGGATGTCACACCGGTTTCCTCGGTCTCTGTTCTCCTAGTTACCGAAATGTTTCTATAGTGAGCAATTATTTTTGTAATTGGAAAATATTATATTTTAAAATAAAATGTAATGATTTTGCTGTTCCCCAAAAAAGAGAACGAGGAGAGTTCCCCTGCCCCCCAGTCGGTGAGTCAAGAGGCAGTCATGGAGGGGTATTTGAGCTTGGAGGGGTTGTGCTTGGGCCACGCCTCGCTGACGTGCCTGCC